CATGGGTTGCTTAAGTCCCCACTGCCCGGGACTCCAGCCTGAAAGTTAGGAAGTCAGCCTGGCTCAGCTGGATCTCCTCAGGCAGAGGAATCACTAAGGCTATCAGTGGGAGGCTCTGTTACCTTTCCTTTGGCTTTGGTTTTGTTGGGGAGGGGCTAGCTTCACAGGGGATGGCCCTGTCTACAAGACACATTTCTGAGCTTTGTATTTAGAAGCTTCCTGAATCTTCCCAGATCTCCCTGCCCCACATACTTCTCTGGCTTCTTGTACACCTTCTCTAGACTCCCACAGCCCTATTCTGGCCATTCCATGCTGAGTAGTGGCCTTACTGTCCTCAAAAATATTTGCATCCCCCTTGCTCAGATGGCCCCATACCAAGAGCCTTTTTCCTAGTCCCCCTTTCTTACCCTTATTCCACTTGCCTTTCCAGGTGTAGCTCCTATCATGAACTTCTGCGGCTAGTGGAGCCTGGGCCTCTCATTTGGAAAGGATTCTCTAGAATTTCTTTTGCTAATTGTCAGGTCTCCTTATTGAGACTGTTTCCAGAAGCTTCTGGAAGTTTCTGGAAGGTGGGGACCAATTCTCCAAACCCTGGCATCCCTCCTCGCACAAAAGGCAGTGTCTTGCACGAGGTGGACACTCAGTGAATACTTGTGGAGCAAGGGGTGAGCAGTTTGAAAGAAATGTGTTTGTGAGGCTGGGGCAAATCTAGAAGGAACTGACAAAGAATTTCGATAAGCAGCCAGGAAAGGGGCAGGCAGTACAGAGCTCATTATTGGAGCCTGGAAAAGGCTTTCTGTTGGCTTTTCTTTCTTCCCTTGATTCTGGTGTCGGCTTCAGAAAGACACGAGAGGACCCAGAGTCAAGAGGGAACAGATATTGAAAGGAGAAAAACGAGTTCTACTGTTTGAGGTAAAGATGATTTAAAGAGGAAGCAATGTAATAGAGGTCCAAGTTTGGACAGGTGGGGAGGCCACCTGGAAAGGGATGTGCTCCTGCAGTTTGAGCACAGTTTCTCAGGGGCGGAGTGGGCTGGCCTCCTGACCAAAGAACTGGAATATGAGTCTGGGCAGTGAAGAAACAATGTGAATTTTGGTGTCAAATGATAAGCCAATGTGTTTGGGGCTTCAGGGATATTTCCAGTTCTTTTGCAGAGGGAAACTTACTGAGGGAACTATTATATCATCTGAAGCCAGAATCTCTGTTTTGATGGCTTCCATTAGGTACTTGAGCAGAGGTGTGTAATTGAATGGGGAGTCTAGGAGATTTATAAACCAAGGATGTCTGAGTGAGAGACTTGAAGTTCATAAATTTTGGGGTCTCTTCTTTGGAGCACTGAAGCTTGGTGGGGGAGGGGATTTGTAGTCTATCATATTAGAACTAGCTGACGTAACAATCAAATGTGAGACCGTAGCACAGGAATGGAGCAAGAGAGGGAATCTTGTCTTTACCTTGGCTGGGGGATTTGGACAGATGCTTAGAGGCTAGGCTCAAAGGAGTTAACTTTCAGAAAACTAGTCATGCAACATAAACTAATTCAAAGAATTTCTGGGGATGCAGAAGAGCATTCAGTCCTCATGGTATTTGCAAACAAATGAGGTCCCTGTGGGTTTTGGAAGTAGCTTTTGGAGGTTACCCAAAGGGTTCCATTTTGGCGATATGTTTGGGGAGGGTGAAGGAATAGGCAGTAGGGCAGAATGAACTTTACTTATCATAGAAGTAGCATAATCTAAAGGGGGCTGATGATTTGATCCCAGCTCAAATGATCCAGTGGCTAGTCCAGTGCTACTGCTGATGATGCCAGTGCTCTAGCCGGTGACTAAAATAGCTTGGAATGTCTGCTGAAATCAGCATCCTGCGGAGACCTTCCCCACATCCGGTGGCTTCAAGCTCACAGTGTGCGTGTTCATGTGTAGTGGGTGTTGGGGAAGGTACTGTAATCGTCAAGTTTGACTAGAACTCCCTTGCCCTTCCCTTCCCTGGGTCCTAACTTCCCCTTCCCCCTCCTGCCCATGCTCCTTTTTGTTTAGATGCCCTGCTGGTTTCTCTTTCTGGAGGTGGCTGGTGCAGACCCAGGGAAGCAGTGTCTCTGGTGGCTTTTGTCTTCTCCAGGGGAAGAGTGGGTGGGGCTGGGCTCTTTGCTTGAAGAGGAAAAGGATGAGGGTGTGCTGGGGAAACAGGTGATACAGAAGTGGTGAAGTGGTATGGAAGATGGAGGAGTTAAATGTTAAGGGGTGGGTAGAAAATGTACCAAGATATTTTGAGGGCTAAATTTGTTCTGGAAGTTAAATGCATAGAATGTGATGAATCAGAACAAGAGCCACTTAAGACTTTTAAAGCCGTTGGGTTGCCCAGGCGATACGCAGACGTTTTGTGGATGATTTGTTATTAGCAGTAAACATTTACATAGCACTTCACCTCCTCAAATATTCATCCATAAAACCTGGAGTGTTAGTGATGGCCAGGAAACCAAGAGCCAGGGAGGACAAGTGATTTGCTCAAGGTCACAAAAGTAGTTTGCTGCAGAGCTGACAAGAGAACCCTGGTCTCCATGCATCTCACTGCTACCTGCAAGGGACTTTCACTTTGGTTGGTTTGCCTTTGAACACATGGTGAGGAACATCAAAGCTGAGTGGTACAGCCTTCAGATACAGAACCAGGGAGGTGGGAAGGGGAGTGATCCACAATGACCAACCAAGAGGTTATACTTGACGTTCCAGCTTTAAAACCTCCTGTCTGGACCCCTGGACCCCTGGAGCCTCATGTCTTGCATTTGTCTGCTCATCTACTAGTATCCTCTCTCTTGGAGAATGGCCCCATTGACCACCCAGTTGCCTGAGCAATTTGGGCTTTTCCTTTTGCTCATTCCCCACCCACACTGCGTTTAATCAATCACCAAGACCTTTGATTCCATGTGCTTAATATTTTTTGAATCTACCTATTTCTCTCCATCCCCATCCTGGCCACCTGTCTACCATATCAGCCTACTGATTAGCCCCCTGAACATCCACTATTTTATTCCTTCCTATCCATTCCTCTATTTCCCAAAACTTTTCCAGGTCTGTCTCCTGCTGAAAACTCTGCTAAGGCTCCCAACAGCCTCAGGATAACGCCCAGAAACTTTAATACAAAACCCCTGCTATCTCTCCATCTCCGGAGACTCATCTACTGCTCTGCTTCACTTTCTATCCCAAGTTCCAGAATGAACTTGTGTTCCCTGAGTTTGTCCTGCTGGGGGTATTTTGGCAAGAGAGCCAGGAGGAGACAGACAAAGATCACAGAAAAGGGTAAGGGGAGAGAAAGAAGAAGGCTTAGAACCTGGGTCTGGGCTGTACCAAACCATTCGCCTGCATTGAAATACTGCCTCTTTATGGGATATTCTCAACCTATGGAGCATTGCCGTCAGACTCAAAGGTGGGTAGGATCTATCAAAGCAAGACTGCAAACTCAAAGCCTTCTCCTTCCAGACAGTATGTCCTCATTTGTGAGCAGAGCACAGTCATTCTTAAGAGGCTTGACGTTTCTTATTAAGTGACAGTGAGCTAGTCACTTAAAGTAATGAGGCTGTGAGTCTTGGTTTCTTCCTTTATGAAATGGGGATGACAGCTGTCCTACTGTGTAGATGTCTTTTTTCTTTGGCTGTACAGCATACAAAGTACCTTCTTGTTTTGGGAAATCCTCTACTGTGTGAGCCTTTGTGGGAGGGAAGGTATACCCCCCACTGGGAAAGTGAAAAAGCCATACTCTGTGACCAGCCCTCGGCAGCGAGAGAGAGAGATGCTCCTGACCAGGTGTTTGTACCTTGAGAATAATGTGAAGACTGAGGCACAGCTGAGAATCATTCTGGTAGAGGCAGTGGAGTAGCAATGACACTGACCGTGGAGGTGGCCTTGGAGGGCCCAGAGTAGGCTCTTCATGCAAGGTGAACTTGATGCCTTTCTTCTGTGTCTTCTAGTCAATGCTGGGAGCTGCATGATCTCCTGTCAGTGAATTCCATTCATGTTCACCAGGCCAGTCAATTTCTGTGGATGGAACTGCAGCTTCACTCAAAACCTCACCTACTTTGCTGCATGGCCACGAGAAAGCAGGACTGTGGTTGGGACTTCACAGGAGGTAGAGTTCATCTTAGTTGTTGGGGAAGGTGGTGAGGATCTGGGTCTGAGATAATAGGGTCTACTGCACCCATGCTTTAAAAAAAGCTTGAAGTTACAGTGGTCAAAACCATATTAAATACCAGGCATTTCATTGTGGGGATGAGATATTGTGAATAAGCTTTGTAAAGGACAAGGAACATCTAAGACATTCTCCTCATCTTACCAATAGAGAGCCCTCCCACTCCTCCTCCACGATGTCTTAAATTTAGCTTAAAAACATAATTGTTCAAGAAAGATGGAGAAAGGCATAAGTCCATTTCGGTAGACTGTTAGCATGGAGGAGCAGACATTTGTTTTCTGCACCCAATATCGCAGAATGAAGAGTCCAGTTTTGGCGGCCTCTGGTGTCATTTTCTCTGGCTGGAAGGACTCTCTTATAAGCTGTGACTCCAGGCTTCCTCTGGCTGTGGAAACCTTAGAAGCTGCCTGCTAAGGTCTGGGCTTCACTTGAAGGGAACAAACCGCCCCCCCCCCCCCCCCCCCCCCCCCCCAGTTAGCCTGATCCCCAACCTCCCCTCCACATCCTGCCCAGAGAGGATCCTTGAGCTCACGTCTGTTCATTCCGCTGCTCCTCGGTTCTCAGAAAGCAGGCGCCAGGGCAGTGGGAGGCCAGGCTCTAGGCAATTTTTCACGTCAACTGGTCTGAGCTGGATGTGAAAGATGTGGCGGCTTCATACCCCCGTTGCCCAAAAGCTGCTGTTTCCTCCACTTTGGAAAACACTCCAAAGCTCAAGAGTCTGGCACATGTCCCTGGGGTCAGAGAGGATGTGCTATTGAGCCCCCACCACGGGACCCATCCCCCTTAACTGCCATCTCTGGGAAGGAGGCACTTGGACGCCACAGTGCTTAATTATAGCATTTAATTTTCCCCCTTACATTTGAAAGAGCAAGTTGTCAGGCAGGCTTATGTGAAGGCAGAACCATTACCATCATGAAGAACTAAATGCAATAACGGAGTGGACCCAGACCAAGGCTGCTGCGGAGAGGAGTTTGCATGCTCTCTCTCTGCCTCTGCGGGGAAATACCACCAATTACTGGCCTGTTGCTGGGGTGGGTGCTTACTCAGGGCAATGTGCTGTCCCTCCTTCATGCTTTCTCTTCCAGTTCTGGAGTCTTCGGGTTCTTTAGGGGCCAAGGGTCAGGTGGAGCTATGAGGAGCCAGGGTCTGAGCTGGGGCTCTGGAGTTATGGAGCAGCACACAGCCAGGGGTCGTGGTTTCCTCACCTGTAAAATGAGAGGAGGAGGTTCAATGATTGCCAAGCTCATTTCCAACTAGCTTTTCTTCCGTGGCTCTGTATTTCCCCCAAGCCTTGGTGGTGTCAGAGACTTGGCTGAGAGGTTCAGGGGTTTGGGCCAAAGTCATTGTCTTGCTGATAATCCATTTCAGTGGGTAAAAGCTGCTGTCCCCTGTTGATCACTGGACAAATGTCCCACTGCCTCAGGAGGAATGCCTCCCTGGAACTTCATGGGTTTGTCTTGGTAAGAAACAAGGAAAGCTGGAGGGGCAGGTCCCTGATTGTCCTACCTGGAAATTAACTGGCCACCTACTATTATCTCAAATCAGATTGATGGGAGGATGGGGGCAAAGTCACATTGACCGTGGATCCCAGACACCAGATCATCAAAATGCAAGGCACCAAAGGAAGTCAATTTGATGGCTTAAAAAAAGAAGTAACAGCAGAAATAAAAACCCTATAAGCTGTTCCAAAAACATGTCATTTTAACTGAAGGAGTTTATTTGATTGAATTTAAAGGAAGTTAATATAAAAGTTCATATGTTTCCTTCCAAGCAAAAAGCCAGATGATATGAAGCATGTTGTTGGTGTCAGACAGATAGTAGATGTGAAGGGGAAGGAAGTCATGCCCATATTTGCCTGAGATCTGATAGCTCATTTTTAAAATTCATCCATCCTCTCAAACTGCATTAATCACCTCCACCCCTGACCCTCTACCATCCTTGTAGGTTGGTACCATTCTTTATGTAGGTTGAGAAAAAGCCAAAGAAAAAGCATTGCTTCTGTTGCCCATTTAACACCTGTTGAATGGCCTGTGAATCAGACCATGGACTTGCAGGGAAAGGTGTACCTGTTGAGATTTTCCAGTTTAGTCACCTCTTGTTAATGCTTGTACCTCACGGTCCACCATCCCTGCCAAGAGGCAGTGAGCTGAGGTCTGTCGCCATCTACTTCTGCAAGCAGCCCCTTTTACCTTGGTCAGACAACCTTTCCTTGCAGAGAGTAGGAATCTGCCTCCTTGTCACATCCTTCTAAAGGTCATGGAACACCTTTGTCCATCCAATTGCTCCAGAAGTCACGCTCACTCTTCTTGTCTCATCTGGACATCAGGTTGTATAATACTCCTCATAGGAGCCTCTAAAATCCCTGTCTACCTCACCACCCCATGTTGGTGCCCATTTTTGGCATCTCTCACCAGGACCATGACAGTAGTCTTCTTCCCCCTGGGCTCTGGCCTTCACTGTTACCAGTGGTCCTTGGGCAAGATTGTGGTGGAGAGAGCATGGGTTTTGGAATCAGACAGAGACCTGTGTTTAAATCTGGGCTTTGCCACTTAGCTGGGTAGCCTCAGCCAAGTTAATTTTTCTATGCCTTATTTCTGGATCTATAAAATGAAAATAATATTGATTTCAGATTATTCTTATGGAGTTTGAATGGGATAACATTTTTTAAAATGCCCACTAGGAAGCCATAAGTAACCACCCAAAAAACATCAGGTACTTTTCCCTTACCCTCTTTCTCACACCCTTTTGAAATTTGTCAAGTGGCAGTTTTAAGTCACTTCATTGCATTGGTTGACATTATCTAAACTTTTCCAGTTTGACACCAAAACGAACCATGGGTAATGTACATGAGGCAGGATAGAACATTCATTCATCCTTCTACCCATCCACCCTATATTTCTGGAGCAACTGTGAGAGCTCAGGCACTCTAACATGCATGGAAAAACACTGAAACCAAAGACAAGAAGTTTATAGCCTCGTGGGGCAGGCAATCTAACATAACATCAGAAGTACTGGAAAGTGGTGAGCCCAGATGGTGTCCCAGAGCACAAGGGAAGAGCTCCTAGCCAGGAACTAGGGTGGTACAGGGAAGGTGTCCTGGAGGTGGGGCTGTCTGGCTTTTGAGGGATGATATGAGTCAGAGAGACTTGAGGCCTTTAAGAATAACCAGTCCTGCCTTGTGTGTTATGCCAAGGAATTTAGATTTGATTTTAAAACCAGTGGGTGGCCTTAAACAGAGGACTGACATAGATTTTTGTTCTAGAAATATCCCTTTGCCTGCATGTCAGAGAATGGGTTGGGAGGATGTAAGACTGGACACAGAAGGACAAGTTGGGGAGTCACAGCAATGGTTCAGCTTGACAAGGACAGGGCTCTGATCAAGGCAGTGTCAGAGGCCATGGAGGGAGAGACCAATGTCTGCGAGGCCATGAAGGTGGAATTGCTCATTCTTGGTGACCATTTAAACGTGGGGCTTATGGAAGAGAAAAGACTCAGAAAGACTCCAGAAGGCAGAGGCTTCTGAATCTGGGTGGCAAATGATGTCATTCACCATGGTGAGCAACTTGAGATGTAGGATCAAAGAATCAGAGAGGGGTAAGGCTGAGTGTGGGATTTCAAAGAATCAGTGAGATTTGGGGGACACTTCTATTTAATGGTTGGCAGGGGAGCACGGACTGGAGAGGATTAAAAACCATCAGTGAGTGGTGTCCCAGAGATCAAGGAAAGGTCAAGCTTCAAGAAGTAGAGGTACATAGTATCAAAGGCTGCAGAAAGATTAGGGCTGAAACATGTTAAATGATCATAGTAAGGTCACCAGTGATATTGGCAAAAACCGTTTCCCTGGACAGTCTGAGCCAACGGTTGTGTAGTAAATAGGGGTGAGTGAGTGGGGAAATTTTCAGTCTATTCTACCAAGAAGCTTGACTCTCAGGAGAAAGTTGTGCATGGGGTTGCACACAGGGGAGCTCACTCGGTTGGGGGCAGAGGCAGGAGGCTTGAGTATATCGATGTTCTTGGGGAAGAACCAGAAGAAATTAGAGTGAGCAGTTGGCTGCTGGCTGGCTGCAATGAGGGGGAAGGGGGGGTAAAGAATGCTCATGGCACGTTGTGTGGGCATTAAAGGAGAAGGAATTGTTACATAAGGTCAGAAGAGTCTGAAATGGGCAGAAGAGTTTAAAGAATGGAGTAGCTTCCTTCACAGGCTGTGGTCCCAAGGGACGTGGCATCCTCACGGTTCCAGAGAAGTCTCCCAATTGAAGCAGAACGCCCAGGTTGAAAGGGGCTTTGGACAAAGGCCTAACATAGCTGAGGTGGTAGCAGAGATGACAGCGGTGTTCATGGTAGGCCCCACTACCAGATTAGGCTCCTGTTTTTCCTTTGGTTTCACTTTCCATCTTGAAGAAAGTGAAAGACAGGCCATCATTACTCCAGTTTGTTGAGATGGGTTTTTAAAAATTTTTTTTAATGTTTTTTTTTTTTTTTTTTTATTTCTGAGAGAGAGAGAGAGAGAGAGAGAGAGACAGTGTGAGCAGGGGAGGGTCAGAGAGAGAGGGAGACACAGAATCCGAAGCAGGCTCCAGGCTCTGAGCTGGCTGCCAGTACAGAGCCTGATGTGGGGCTCAAACCCATGAACCATAAGATCGTGACCTGAGCCGAAGTCAGAGGCTTAACCAACTGAGCCCCCCAGGCGCCCCTGTTGAGATGTTTTTGGACTGCGATTGTGTTATCCAACACATTGGCTGAACACAGAGTAAAACCTGCTCTCATGGACCTTACCATCTTGGTGCAGGATCTTTTTGGTGCAGAATGGAAAGACTTTGAAGTAACTGTTCAAACCAATGTATGGTGCAGTCCAGGGGAAAGATGGAAATAAGGTCAGAATGCAGAGGAGATGACATGCATCTGAACCGAATCCTAAGACAATGGGGAACACTTGAGATTCCTGAAAGACTTGGCGGAGGCAAGTAGGAAGGGCTGGAGAGAGGGAAACTGCTCAGGAGATTGTGGGGCTGGGGAGTGGCAATAGGAAAGGTGAGAAAGGCTTTTCTGACAAAGGGTCTGCAGGGCTCAGGCCCTACTTGGCTTTCCATTCTAATGTTTTTTTTTGTTTTTGTTTTTGTTTTGTTTTATTTCTGAGAGAGAGACAGCACGAGCAGGGGAGGGTCAGAGAGAGAGGAGACACAGAATCTGATACGGGCTCCAGGCTCTGAGCTATCAGCACAGAGCCTGACGCGGGGCTCGAACTCACAAACCATGAGATCATTACCTGAGCCAAAGTCAGACGCTTTACCAACTGAGCCACCCGGGCCCCCCTTGGCCTTCCATTCTAAAGGCTCTCATCTGTATTGATTGCTTATATGATTCTAATTGATTTCTAATTCCAAGAAAGAATTCTTATTTTTTTGTTTTGCTTTGTTTAAAGTAATGCAGGCATGAAATAAGGTGGTGAAAGCATGGAAATGGATCAGAAATAGAGCAAGAGCACCAAATCAGCAGATGGAAAGAAACCATTCCACTCCCAGAAGAAATAGTCCAGCAGCACAGATGCTGGCCCCCTGTCCAAACCCAACACGGAGATACTGGAGAAGCCAGGGGGAGGTTAAGTGGGTCCAAGAAATTCTGGGGGAGACATCAGAAAATGGGGGAGATGTCAGTTGGGGGAGAAGTTGGAAATGATGGTTAGAAAGGAGGTAGGTCAGACGCCACCGATAGAAGGGAAGGAGACTTTTCATGAGTCACATTATCTCTCCATTGTTGTCCTGCCTGGATCAGTGCTTTCTGCTTTGCCACAAGGTGTGAAAATGGCACACCCCACCCAGTGCCAGCCAGAAGAGGGAGGCTACCATTAGGACAGAGATATGCCAGATTTCGGCGGGTGTGAAGTTATAAGGTAAAGGTGGTTGTTAAATCCGTCCTGAGAGTGGCCTTCTATCCTCCTCAGTTATGGAGGGGGTGGGCTAGGCAATCAGCCAAGGGAAGAAGCAATTCTTGAAAAGTGCCCAGCTGGGGGATTCCTCTGGGAGAAGAGTCTCCTGGCTGGGTTGGGAAGGAGCAATCTGAGTCCAGACTGTTCTGCTGGAGGCTCTGACCCCTGAGGCAAGGCTTTCCTCCCTCCAGTGTACATGGAGAAACACAAACTAGAACCAGGATCCCACTTCTTCCCTGAATTTTTATCACTTGCCTAAATAGTTAGTTGATAGTCTTA